ACAAAGGAACAGAAAACAAAAATGGCCGCTCTTCTTCCCACAGCCCTCATTAAATAGTTTAAGCCCCTCACCTCAGGCTCTCTTATTTCTGATTTCTTCTCATAAATCAGTTTTGTCCATATATTACCTCCACAAACAATTGATGTACAAAAACAAATAATTTTTACAACTTAATTATTTTACACAGATTCATTGACTTATTCAATTACACCAAACTGGGTTTGAACCCAGCAAAGACGCAGCCAGACTGAAGATGACAAGTCCCCGTAGCATAAACACGTACACCCCCCCCCCCCCACACACACACACACACACACACGGCTAACCCCACTGAAATATTAAGTGTGCACCCTCAATATGCCAGCAGGTAACCAGGACAGCTTGTGTGTTTTAAGTTAATGGAGCTACTGGTCTCAGCGCGAGCGGATTGGTCCTCACAAACACAGTATAACAGGAATGTGTGTGTGGCGCGCAAAGTTACAGGATGTGGATTCGTCACAGTCACAATAACCATGACATGAAATTTTCCTACCCTACAACAGGGATGTTCTTCTGGCAAACGGGTAGATAAATAAGGATCTCACCGAATTTGGTGGAAGCTGCATCTCGTTTGTTACATTCGCCATCTTCCCTTTAATTGTCTGCACCTGCGCTTGGGTGCAGAAGCCTGTTAAAGTGCAGTATTTTCAGAGCCCCAAGACCATAAAGTTCTGAGACGCTGATTGGCCATTAAATTCACCTAGCAATAGTACATGATTGACAGATTCTCTGCAAATGTGGGTCTGTCTGATCAGCGCCCCCAGAACAGAGACGGTAGGAGTCTGTCTGTGGAAATCCACAAATGAATGACAGTAGATAGGAAAATGTAGTTTATATAATTTGTTTTGCTTATATGTAAACACTCTAGAGAGTAAAACTGACATTTATGAGTTAATTTCTAAAAATATATTTTACGTTTCTCTCTTCTTATCAGGGAGGGCGGTGCCCCAGCGCCCCCTATGGGCCGGCCGCCACTGCTCCCAGCTCAATTCTTGGACTACAAGACAGGAGAAGAAAAATGCACATATTAAAATCATGCAAACACAACTCCATGCTAAGAGTGTCTTTGATTTCTTAAGAAGAGGTAATGTTCAAAATGTTCCATCATATCCCAGATTAGATGTGATTCAGAGTAGAAATCCAGTTGAATTAGTTCTTCCTTTTTATCTAAAAGATTCAAACTTTCATTATAACATGAAGCTACCCTGAAAACATCTTGACTGTCACAGAACTCATATGCAGGTGTGTATTCTGACTGCTGTGGTTGCAGGTGTCTGACATGCATGAATTCACAGAGGCACTTTACTGACATCAGACAAAAATAGGTTGTTTTTTTTTCTTCCCCCACCCCAGTTTGACATTTACATATATTTTCAAAAGAAGGATTTGTCTTAAACTTAAACCTAAGAAGACAAAAGAATCATAATCTGTTTTGTCAGATGTCTAAATAACTCTAATTACTTTCTGTTTTTTGGAGAATTGATCGGAAATAACATGTTATATTCTTTATATGCTTCTGATGCCTGCTTGCATCAGAAGCATGGTAAAAAGCTATTTTAACAACCTGCAAATGTGCTTCTCTGCCCTTGACTTCACTACTGGATGGCAGCGGCTTGAAGTCGGAATAGCGATGGGGTGTGCCATTTCACCTACACTGTTTGTAGCAGCGTTTGAAATAATCCTCATCGGTGCAAGGCAGATGGCAGGAGGAATAACTGGCCAGAGGCTCCCCCCGCTAAGGAGCTACATGGACGACGTCACCACCCTCCTTCAGACAGCACCATGTACAGCAAGACTGCTGAGGAGGATTGATGAGCTGATGTCATGGGCAAGGATGAAGATCAAGCCCTCCAAGTCCCGTAGCCTGTCACTCAGGAGAGGTGTCCGGAACGACAGCACCACCTTCGTCGTCGGGGGAGAGAAGATCCCACTCCTTGCAGAGCAGCCCATCAAAAGCCTTGGGAGGCAGTACACTGCCGAGCTTTCTGACAAGCAAATGGGGAAAACCGTTATGAAGCAGCTCTCTGATGGCTTGACGAGAATTGACCAAAGCCAACTACCGGGCAAATACAAGGTCTGGTGTTACCAATTTACACTCTACCAGAGACTGCTGTGGCCCCTGAAAATGAGTGAGATCCCCTCATCAACCGTGAGTAGGATGGATGGGAAAGCCAATTCATTTATCCGAAAGTGGTTGGGGCTGCCACGGTGCCTCTCTGAAGCTGGCCTATTTGGGAGGAACATGCTCCAGCTACCCCTAAGATCGCTACAGCTGGGCTACATGCAAGAAAAGACCAGGTTGGTGCTCGAGCTACGGGAGTCCACAGATGAGCTGGTTAGGAATGCTAATGCCAGGGTCCTGACTGGCCGCAAGTGGAACGCCCAGACCGAGGTCGACCAAGCGGTAAGCCGGCTGCAGCACAAGGAGATTGTAGGCAGGGTGCAGGTAGGAAGAGCAGGCCTAGGATGGGGAGAAGCACCACGCTTCTGGTCCAAGGCCCAACACAAGGAAAGAAAGGAAATGGTGGTGGCGGAGGTGATGAGGATGGAGGAAGACCGCTATAAGATCAAGGCTGTGTCTCAGGGACGACAAGGAAGCTGGACAACCTGGGAGGGAATCTCAACCAGGAACATCAGTTGGTCAGACTTGTGGAAGATCCCACAGGCAAGACTTAGCTTCCTTATCCGCTCAACATATGACACGCTTCCCTGTCCTCGGAACCTTCATCAGTGGTTCGGAAACGAGGAATGTTGTGCACTCTGCAATGCTCCCAACGCAAGCCTCCAGCACATCTTGTCAGGCTGCAAAGTGGCCCTCTCACAGGGCCGCTATAGATGGCGCCACGACCAGGTCTTGAGAAAGCTAGCCGAAGTGCTGGAGGAGCGCAGAAAGGGTAGTAGAACACCATCGCCAGCAGAGGACCCCACCATCTTTGTCGCGGAAGGAGGAATCAGAAGCTTCAAGCAAAGAGAAACCTCAAGGCCCTTCACTACTGGCCAGGAGTGGAGCATGAAGGTTGACCTGGACAGGAAGCTTCAGTTTCCCACAGAAATCACCACCACATCTCTCCGACCAGACATTGTGGCGTGGTCCATAAAGGCAAGAGCGGTAGCCCTCATTGAGCTCACTGTGCCAATGGAGGAAGGGATCGAAGCTGCCTTTGAGCGAAAAAAGGCCAAGTATTCAGAGCTGGCTGCAGAGTGCCGGGAGGCGGGCTGGAAGACTACCATCTACCCAGTAGAGGTCGGATGCCGAGGCTTCACAGGGTTGTCGACCATACGCCTCCTGAAAGACGTGGGAGTCAGGGGAGGAAGGCTGAGGAAGGCAACAAAGGAACTGGCTGAGGAGGCGGAGAAAGGGAGCTTTTGGCTCTGGCTGCGGAGGAAGGACAGAACCTGGGGGAATAACACCTAACCCCCAGATAACAGTTGCAGGGAATAACATCTTTCAGCTGCAGGGGGTGACAGGGAGACGTCCCTGTCACTGCCCCGCCACCAGGAGACGTTCCAGGATTAAAGGGGCGAAACGTTGGTGAATGGTGGTTCCTGGCTGATGACCCTGCAGCTGACCCATGGGCACCGGAGGAGGTGCGACAGGCAGAAATGCCAAGCAGGATTTAACACCCTCCTGTATTATCCTTAAATAAGTCATATGTTTGATGGTGCGATAGCACAGAAAACTGAAGGTAGTGCCTCCCTAAGAAATCACTCCCACGTAAATCCTCTAATGTATGCTTATAAGCAAGTGATGCATATTAATGTGCAGAAATGAGCCTGTTATAGACAATAGAAAGACAAAAACAGAAAGCTGGAACTAGTGATGTACCTATATGCAGGTGGTGAGATGCCCTATGTTTCACTAGGAACAGCAGACATGTGGAGGAGGATGCTCTGGTAAGAGGAGACCAGATAATGATAAAACTTTTAGTTTTACTGTTTGTTTTATGAACTAACGCTGGAACCTGAACCCCATGTGAAACATGGGTGCGGTATCACACAGTAGCAAGGCAAGGAAATCCATATCTCAAAATGGCCTAATCAAAGTCCGTATCAAAATCTGATTGAGAATCATTGAAAAGACTGAAAAACATTAGATGTCCACAGATGCTCTTCATCTAACCTGAGCTAAGTATGCAAAGACTGTTGAGACATGTCACAAAAAGACAAAAAGTTTAAAGGGTAGGTCCTGTATTACTACTCTTTAATGTTTCTACAGACTGAAAGCTAAGAACTGAGATAATTATTAGAAAAAGAATTGGAAGAATAACATAAATATTTCCAAAATCTGAACTCATCATCATTGAAAGACTACTGAAGAACAGTCAATGATCCCCAATGTCTGTAGCCGCCAGAGGCTCATGCTGAAATATAATCCTGCTTTAAATATTTCAGGAATAATTCATTTTTTTGATAGAATAGAAACTTAAACAAAAAGATTTGTATTAAAAACATACTTTTTCTCCCTGTAAAACATTTGAATTCACAGGTCTCTATTCTAGGTTTATTTAGCACCCAGTAACCCATTATGTGATTCAAACAGGTGGCTGCATGTTTTTGCATGACCACTACTCCCTTTTAACAAACTTCGAGGAAGGCTGACCTTCTCTGATGGACTATTGTGCTCACAGACAGGCAGGCATGCTCACCTACACACATAAACGCTGTCAGACTTTGATTGTAGACGTTTCTGTGTTCTCCTGTAACTGATATGAACAAAGTGATGCAGAGGAAATCTATCTTTATCAGATGAAAGAGTCAACCCCCCATTTCTGCAAATAAACTTCCTGTTAATGCTTACTGGAACATTTTCTTGCGATTAAAGATATTTTTTTGTCCTTTTTTGGCAAATGATAAATAAATCATTTATCCAATCAGGTGCGCTGAAATGATTGTCCCCATAAGTGGATTATTTTAATGTCTAACAAGTTTTTTTTCATGTTTCTCTTGATGTTTCTCATCAGGACCCCAGGGCAAAGCATAAATTTAAGATCCACACCTACTCCAGCCCCACCTTCTGTGACCATTGCGGCTCCCTACTGTACGGCCTCATACACCAGGGAATGAGATGTGACCGTACGTGCTCTAAACTACCCCTAACCTTTCATCTATGGACATTTTTATCCATATCTAAATGGAAATTTTTGATAATTACTTTTGTTTGTGATGTGTTTAAACCTGTTGCTTCCTTAAAATACCCAAACTAAACATTATATTCAATCTATGTTCTGAGATTTGGCCTTGTATGTGTTTTCCAGACTGTATGATGAACATCCACAAGCGCTGCGTTCCCAATGTGCCGAATCTGTGTGGAACAGACCACACTGAGAGGAGAGGCCGTATCGAGATCAGTGCTGAGGTCAAGACTAATGTTCTCACCGTCACTAGTAAGTACATCTAGTAAGTGCATCTTAGGGAGACGGCACAAATACCTGTGCTGGGAAAGGTGAAAAATACAGGTGTATGTCTCCCTCTGCTGTTAGGATGGGTGAGATGAAGTGAGAAGATAGTTTCATAGTATCGCCATCACACAAAACAGAACAGCAAAGTGCAGCATTATGGGAAACGATGCTTGACACAGACAAGGCTGAGAGTAACAGGATGTTAGATAACACTGACAGAGCAGATAGGCAGAGAAAAGGAGTGGTTCAATTTCTGCAAAGGGGGTCTAAAGTCTACACAATGTTTTTATACCACCTATCATTTTGATTTTGTTTAACACCACTCTGTGTATAAAAGCTGAAGACGCTGAATATTTGCCGCTCTGTTTTTGGAGTTTGTGTGCATCTTAGTGAAAAGAACCGAGTCCTTCTACTGACAGATTTTAGTGTTAAATAAATTCTAGACGGAGAAGTTGTCATTCGTTTTTTTTTTCCTCATCTTTCTAAAACATACTGTACTCAAAAATATTCTCATTAAGACCTGATTTTTATTTGTTTCTCCTTGGTTAAATTTCCTTTGTCATTTGTTTGAATTTTAGGCTGTAGCCATAAATATTTTAATTTTACAAATCTCTTATTAGTGGAGATAAAGACACTTTACCTGAACTATGAACCCACCTGTTTGCCTCACCTTTTAACTCAAACTGGGCAGATTATTTTATTTCCTTTTATGATTTTAATATAGGTTTGTTATTTTTTAGTTTTATAACTTTTATTTATTTCCATCATTATAATTATTTGATGTTGGCTATTAGTTATTTTATACTCATACATTTATAACGTTAGTTGTCTACAGCTAATATCTGTATCAAATGTTATTCACCTATTAGTTTAGAAGAAAGCTTTATTTATTTAAGCCTTTTGAGGATTCCATCCATCCATCCATCCATCCATCCATCCATCCATCCATCCATCCATCCATCCATCCATCCATCCATCTTCTTCCAATTATCCGTGGTCGGGTCATGGGGGTAGCAGCTTCATTAGAAAGGGCCCAGACGTCCCTCTCCCCAGCCACTTGCACCAGCCCCTTCCCTAGGGACCCCAAGGTGCTCCCAGGCCAGCCGAGAAACATAGTCCCTCCAGATGTCCTGGGACGTGCCTGGAACACCTCACCAGGGAGATGTCCAGGAGGCATCCTAACTAGATGCCTGAGTCACCTCAAAGGGCTCCTCTCGATGTGGAGGAGCAGCGGCTCTACTCTAAACCCTCCCCAGATGACTGAGCTCCTCACCCTATCTCTAAGGGAGATCCCAGACACACTACGAAGAAAACTCATTTCAGCCGCTTGAATCTGGGATCTCGTTCTTTCAGTCATGACCCAAAGCTTATGACCATAGATGAAGGTAGAAACGTATATCAACTGGTAAATCGAGAGCTTTGCCTTTTGGCTAAGTTCTCTCTTCACCAAAAATGACCGGTACAGTGCACGCTTCACAGCGGACGCCGCACAAATCTGCCTTTTAATGATTATTAGATTTATTTAGAGGAGCCTCCAACGTCTCATTTACCTTCAGATCAAAATTTAAAATGTTATGACTTGATGAACAATTGTTTAGCATAAATGAAGGTCTAACAGAAATTTGCAGCTGTTGTCCTACTTAATAAACCTAATGAAAGTTGCATAATCCCTATGATTGTATGCTGTTTAAAGAGTCTTCCTCTCTCCACCACATATTTATAAGAAAAACAAAAAACGCCTTTAACCTAAAATAAAAAAAAATTGGGTTGGTTTGTAAGAACTTGTCTTTACATGAAGTACCTACTTTCACCTGCAGGTGGCAGCAAAATACCATGTTCTACACTCATTCATCCCAGCATAGTTTTAACAATACTTCAAAATGAAATAAATCCTTTTAATGTCTAATTACCATTTCATTGAGTCAATGATAAAAGGTGCAGATTAACTTGTGTATTCTTTTGAATTGAATATCTGCTATTATAAACCTAAACTCTGTCTCAGTTAATTCATTTTTCATATTTTTTTAAATGTATTTTGTAATTGCACTCCAATTTGAGCAGTTGTCCAAATGTGGGCTTTATTTTTCTGTATCTTTGTGTCATCAGCTCTTAAATAAATTAAATGCTTTTAAAAAACTGCTTTTGGAAACTTGAAATATCTGCAAAGATGCTGAATGTATTGTTATATTTTGTTTAGCTTTACATTTAAATACAGATAAATGCTGACTAGATATAAAAGGGACAAAACAACAAATCAAAGGGAACATCATGGTTGTAGTTCTGCTGCTGTAGAACTACAAACAAATCTAAATCTCACCATTATTTAGAAAAGCTTTATTTTAACAGTTGGATGCCTTCATAATAATGGCCAGCTGCTTTGACTTCTTCCAGCCAGGTTTCCATGCTCACCATAGTACAGAGTCTGCTAGTGTCTTAATGTTCATTGACGTCCATATGAATGCAGACTGGGGAAGAATAGAAGTCCTTATCTGTGCATTGCAAAAATGTATTCAGCTAAATAAAAAACAACTGAAGTGATTCTTTTATGACAAAAGAATGAGCAATCAAAAGTTAGCACCCAGCTGCAGTTATTAAACCTACAAAGCAATGATGAGACCTAAAACCTGAGTGTAGTGAAGGACTTAAACTTTAACCTTTATAGCGGAGGTCTTCAATAGGCGGTCTGCAGCCCCTAGGGGGTCTACAGAGGTACTGCGAATGTTTTGGTTGATTAGACTTTTTTTTAATATTCCCCCCTGCAATTTTTTCCACTAATTGAAATGTCTTTAAATACATATTAACATGAATTCAACACACTGTAGTAAATAGATAAATGGAGGCAGAAGATGTCTTTCAATCATCAATGCTCACATTGGTGGTCACCGTTTCATTCACAACACCTGTCTCATCAATGAGGAATCCGAATCAGAAATACTTGAATAATTCCAGGATTATTAAAGTACTCTATTACTCCATCTGTAATAGAGTGACTATAGGAAAAGGTTAATATAACAGAATTTCATACAATATATATAATTAGGGGGGCCCCGCTCCATCTCGCCATCAGTTTGGGGGTCCTCGTCCTGGAAAACGTTGAAGACCCCTGCTTTAGAGGCACATAAAGAGAATTTCATATTTGGCTGGCTTCAACTTTTTTATAGACTGGAAAAACAAACAAACGTGTAATTTGCTTTGAACACAAAGAAAAAATTTCAATCACTTTGTACGGTTACTGTAAAAAAGTTAAAAACAATCCACTGGACCTTGTTTCCAAGTTTGAAGACGTTTCGCTTCCCATCCGGGAAGCTTTTTCAGTTGTCAGAATAGGGTTAAGTTCAAAGCTAGCTTTTTTATAAAAGATTTTTCCCCCCATGCATGGGGGTGGGGGTTGAGATGATAAGAGGATAAGAAAAAAAACATCTAGTCTGAGCAGCTAGGCCAACAATTGCCCCTAATGATCCCCCTTCTACAGGCATAGACCAGTGTAGGGTATTGCAGGCTAACAAAAGAACCCAAACCACTTCCCAACCCTAAGGGTCGGACCCATTCTTCTGGTTCACTTTGCATGTTTTCTAAGCCAAAACAAGTTTTTGGGCCACTATATAAAGCTTCAAACTCAATGCTAAATCTGACATTTTGAATTGAAAAATCTTCCTGGATGGGAAGCAAAACATCTTCAAACTTGGAAACAAAGTCCAGTGGATTGTTTTTTAACTTTATGGACTGACTGTGACCTGGATGACTGAGAATCTTCCGCATTTTGTACGGTTACGTTTTTGGGCTGCTATATAAAGCTTCAAACTCAATGCTAATTCTGACATTTTCAATTAAAAAAAACTTCCTAGATGGAAAGCGAAACGTCTTCAAACTTGGAAACAAATTTCAGTGGATTGTTTCCTAACTTTTTGGGTGGTACGGTTACGTTTAGTTAATGATAGCTTGGCTAACAAGAGCTGGGAAGCTGCAAACCAACAACAACAAGAACTCGTATCAACTACGGGAAATAGCTGTACAGTAGAATAACTTAATATAACATTGACTTTTTTTTTTTGTTGTTGTTGTTTTGAACTTGCCTTTTTAAATGCTTCTAACACAGAGTCATTTATATGGTGCCCTTTTTGTTGAAGGTAATGTTCAGTGTTCTTACTGCTGTTTTGCTTTCATGTTGGAAAATCAGAACTTTTTCTCATGGTGGTCATGATAAGAGCTATAGTTGCTCATAATGCAACAACTCCCCCACATGTATTTGTTTAAACGAGCTTCAAAACAACCACACAGAATCACTTCCAAAATGCATTGCGTTTCACAGCTGTGCTTATGTGAGGTCAGTGTACTCAATAACAACATAACATATCCAGGATTAAATGACTGTCTTGGCAAGATCTTGAAAAACTAATGTATCTGTTCATCTTTTGTAGAAGGTATTAGAGTCTTCATCTAAAATTTGTTGATCCAGAATGCTGCTGCCCACATTCTCACTGAAACTAAAAAAGTAAAGCACATCTCCCCAGCTCTAAAATCATTACAATGGTTCCCTGATCTCAGAGACATATTGAAAATAATCTGTTTGTTTAAAATAGTATATCAACTGCCCAGAGCTCTAAGGTCCTCCTGCTGAAGTCTTCTTTGCACACCCAGAAACAGAGCCAAGCCATTATTATACAAATCTAGCTCTTTATTTGGTCAAATGTAATAAAACTGATTATACTACACCCTATAAATACTATTACCATAACGCCTTATAGTAGTTCCTCTTAAAGTTGTATTGATAAATTAGTTTAATTTGATCTAATAATTCCTATCATAAACTACCGTATATTTTGGACTATAAGCCGCTACGTTTTTTCCACTCTTTGAACAATGCGGCTTATGCAAAGTTGTAGCCAGGTGGCGAAAATCAACGTTTTTTTTATTGAACACGAGCACATGCTGGCATCAGGCATGACAGAAACAAATCTGAATTCACACATTTTGACATTTATTTG